GCTCAGAGCCTGGAGCCTGCTTCCGAGTCTGTGTCTCCCTCTCTCTCTACCCCTCCCCTGCTCCTGCTGTGTTTCCCTCTCTGTTTCAAAAATAAATAAACATTGAAAAAAATTTAAGAATATGAAGCTAGGGAAGGATGGAATTGTAGGGGATGGACGCTAGGAAGGGAAATCCCTCAGACACCACACCTCTGCTTTGCATTGCCAGGCTCTTGTGGATTCACATCGGCATGTTTTATTTCCTTTTGTCTCAGGGGATCCACTTTCTTTGTTTCTCAAGGGGCACGTGGCCGGATGTGGGAGCCCCTCAGTTGGGAAGTTTACATCGCCTCAGTCCCAGCAGACCGCACTAAGGATAGCTGTTCTTCTGGTGGAGAGAACAGAGGATTGGTCAGCTATACGTCTGGATCCGTCTCTGGTCCGACCACTGATCACTGATGAGGGTAGGTACCGAGGTCTGGAAGCTCCTGGGCTGGACAAGCGCTCCTGAAATTTTGTACGGTGCCCTTGGTAGTTGATTAAATGTTCTGTGCATGAAAATAGTAAGCGTTAATAACAACCACCTAACATACTATGTACCCATACTATGTGCCAGACTCTTTGCTGACCGTATATTCCCCATCTCAGTCCCCACAATAAATGCTCAGGAGGACATAGAGTGGTCTCACAGACCCACTAAGACACTTTTCCCAGATGATCTGGACAATAAGCAAAGGAAAGAAACCCAGGTTCATCGGTGCTCAGGGCTATATCGTTAACCGTTTCCCTGGAACCTAATAAACAAAGGCTGGTCTTAGTGTATACCCTGTTGAGAAAAACTGTCGTCACTCTTACACTTTCCTTTTCCCCGTGGTTATACGTTGGCTGCTATCAAAGAGCTGAGACACTTGTGATCCTTGATTTTGTTCAAGGAACTCAGTTAAAGTGATGGTAGCAATTAAGCAGAGCAGATTCTCAGAAATCGTTGCCCTTAGTTAATGAGTGACTTTCCGAAGAGTGGTCATATATCCTCCAAGAGGATGTGCATAATAAAAATTGATGTCAGGTGGATCCGGCCTGCGTGCGGAAATAGGTTTCCCGGAATGTTCGGGATGCGTTTGGTTTTCTGTAAGTATTTGCAGACTGCCCCCTGCTGGCTGATGGAGGGGGACGTTGCCCACCCCAGAAGGGTGTGAATGCCAGCAAGAAACCATGGGTCCAAGGAGGCCTCAGTTTCATGTGGCCTCCGTCCAGGTGGAAACGGCTGAGTCTTCCCTCCCTGTATTTTATGCCCCACGTCACCTCCACAGAGGAGTGAGAAACGGTTCACAGCAGTTTGTTGGTTTTTAATCATCTCCTTGCTGCGTCACAAGGGCTGATTTTGTTGCTTACCAGAGTCAGTGACTGAAATCTCGGTACAGAATTAACTTTGTAAACATCAGAAAGCAGTTCAGTTAGATTAGTGTGTGCATGGGTGTAAGCATGCATGGGGGAGGGGCAGAGGGAGGGAGAGAGAATCCCAAGCAGGCTCTATGCAAAGTGCGGAACCCAGTACGGGGCTCGACCCATGACCCTGGGATCATGACCTGAGCTGAAATCAAGAATCAGATGCTCGGGGCGCCTGGGTGGCGCAGTCGGTTAAGCGTCCGACTTCAGCCAGGTCACGATCTCGCGGTCCGTGAGTTCGAGCCCCGTGTCGGGCTCTGGGCTGATGGCTCAGAGCCTGGAGCCTGTTTCCGATTCTGTGTCTCCCTGTCTCTCTGCCCCTCCCCCGTTCATGCTCTGTCTCTCTCTGTCCCAAAAATAAATAAACGTTGGAAAAAAAAATTAAAAAAAAAAAAAGAATCAGATGCTCAACCAGCTGAGCCATCCAGGTGCCCCTTAATGTTTATTTATTTTTTTTTTATTTTTTTTTTTCAACGTTTATTTATTTTTGGGACAGAGAGAGACAGAGCATGAACGGGGGAGGGGCAGAGAGAGAGGGAGACACAGAATCGGAAACAGGCTCCAGGCTCTGAGCCATCAGCCCAGAGCCTGACGCGGGGCCCAAACTCACGGGCCGCGAGATCGTGACCTGGCTGAAGTCGGACGCTCAACCGACTGCGCCACCCAGGCGCCCCTTGTTTATTTTTATTTAAAATGTTTACTGAGGTGCCACCTATCTACTACTGTATTAAGTCCACTTTAGGAATTATTATTATTTTTGTGTGTGTGAAGAAAGTTAACTTTAAAATTTTTTAATTTTTTTACATTTATTTATTTTTGATAGGCAGTGAGAGACAGAGCACAAGTGGGGGAGGGGCAGAGACAGAGGGAGACAGAGAATCCGAAGCAGGCTCCAGGTCCCCTCTGTCAGCACAGAGCCCTCCGTGGGGCTTCAACTCACAGACCGCGAGATCATGACCTGAGCTGAAGTCGGACGCTTAACCGACTGAGCCACCCAGGTGCCCCGAAGAAAGTTAACTTTAAAAAATAATTGAAAGGTGGGGCACCTGGCTGGCTCAGTCAGAAGAGCATACGAGTCTTGATCTCAGGATCGTGACTTTGAGACCTGTGTTGGGGGCATAGAGATTACTTATATACATACTTACATGCATGAATGCTTTAAAAAATAAAAAATAGGCATAACATAATTTCTGTATTGGCTAGTACAATTATTCAATAGCTCTCATAGTTAGAGCTAATACAAAATATCTAGGACCTGAAAACTGGCGGTGAAACTGCTTGCGTGCACACACAAATGCACTCAAGTCCTATTAGAATTTCATTTAGAATAAATTAGTTTAGGATTTAGTGTAAAATATTTTTCTAATTTCTAAAGAAGCACGTTTTCATTATAGAAAATTCAGAGAGTACACATACAGATTTAGAGACATAGTGACTACATGTAAAATTAAGGTGAGATGTATATATCACATGTATACATGAATGTTGTGTATAATTTACTTCCTAGAGATTCCTATCTCAAATTTGAATACAGAACATTGTATAAAAGGCCATTAGTATGAGATAACCTAGCCAAATAACTGACAGTAATTTAAATGATCATGTAGTGAGCGAGCTAATACGATAAAATGTTGTGTAAGACTCCTATTTCCATATGTGGCTTCCAACATCTAATCAGTAACCCAGACTGCTGAAGATGTTAGCATATAAAAGTGCCCACTCATGAATGAGAACAGAACACAGGTTAGGTATTGATGTTTAATTAGCTGCTAGGCTTTTTTACCACCTAGGTAACCTCTCCCCACAAATTTTAACAACCTAGCTGTTTGAGCTTAGGTCTTAATGAATTTATAAATTGTGACATGCCATGAGCCTTGATGCTAGAAGTTTAAATGCGTGAAGACAAGGACGTGTATAATGTAATATAGTAGGTTTGTTTAAACACACCCCTTAGAGCTCATCCCTTCAAGTGTTTTGTCCCACATAGTTAGTTGCGTTAAGAGGTTATGAATTGTCTCCGCAATGCGTGAATGTAGTCATTCAGCGATATTGATGGAGTGCTGTGTGTGGACGTAATTGTGGGTGAGACAGGAAGACTGCACTGTCATGATGGACAGAGATGACTCCTGGCCAGTCTGAGACAGGAGTGTAAGTCCTGCATGGAAGGTGGCCCAGGGTGATAGAGACTCCCGCCCAACCCCGTCCCTGGGGTCAGGGCGATGGAAAGACACATGACTTCTCAGCTGAATACTGGTCACTGAAATTCCAAGGTGGTGTGGGGCCTTTAGAGACTGCCTTTAGAGACTTGTCATAGCCAAGGCTTCAGTTAGCACTGTGGTTAACTGTGACTTCAGTAGACTGTTCAAGTCAGACCTTTGACGTGTGGTTTTATTTTTATTTATTTTTAATGTTTATTTTTGAGACAGACTGAGAGAGACAAAGAGTGAGCAGGGGAGGGGCCGAGAGAGAGGGAGACACAGAATCGGAAGCAGGCTCCAGGCTCTGAGCTGTCAGCACGAGCCCCACGCGGGGCTTGAACCCACGAGCCGTGACATCATGACCTGAGCTGAAGTGGGATGCGTAACCTACTGCGCCACCCCAGCGCCCCGAGTCAGACCTTTGAAAAGCCCCAGGATTTAGCAGAGGGTGTCGCAGTACGTACTCAGCGACCGCTTACTGATGATCGACCGCAGGAAGTCTGATGAAATGATGCTTGCACGACTGAAAAGTCCTTGTTCTGCTCTAAACCCAGATGGGTCTAAGCGCTAGGATGGCTTTGCTTGTCTGGCTTGCTAATTCGTTATCTCCATCCCAGCAGCTCTTCAGCAGTTCGAACGAGAGAGGCCAGGCTGCCAAGGCGTACTGAGCATGTGTCGCGCCCTCGGGGTGAGTAGTTTGACAAGGACCGTGTGTATTTCCATCTTGAAACTGGGATACGTTTGTCTCAGTCATATCCATTCGATTTAAAATTACTCAGTTTGCATGTGGATTGACGCACTCATGGACCACACGTTTAATTGATGGGAGTTAAGATGAGTCAGCACTTGTTTTTCCTGGTTCGTGCTGACAGTTCAAATCCAGGCTCTACCGTTTAGAGCTGTTTGACCTTGGGAAGGTTAGTTGACATCTCTGTTCCTCATCTCCTAATCTATACATGATGGATAATGATTACACCCAAATTATAGAATGCGTCTGAGGCTAAATGACTTAATGCGGGTAAGGAGCACAGAATACCGTTTGTCACATAGTGAGAACTGTATAATTATTGTATTGTCACTGTCCTAAAACATAAAACATTAACATAAAAAACAAGTAATTCAGCAGAGAAAATAGTCTATAAAGTAGTTGTTAATATATACAAGATGATGATTAGACTTAAAATTCGAAACCTATCTGAATCCAAATGAGTCCATATTGCAAAGAACAGAGAACCCTGTCACATGGTACTGATCTTATTATTCCTAACCGTGATGGTATTAATATGAAGAATATTTAGATTATTAAGTCAAACTAATATTTAGTTGATCATCTATCACGAAGGTTTCCATTATTTTCGATGTTTTAAATATGTTGAAAAACATGAATTACAACAATGAGGATGAAATTAAATGGTGAAAATGGAAATGTAGTCATTTAGAATAGTTTTTCTGTCTTCAGATGAAAAATAGATCCTGGAGGAAGCTAGGTCCTCGGAACTGAATACGTTTTAAAATCTAATTTGTTTTTCTTGCAGTTTGTAGATGTGGAATTGTTAAAATGTTCATATCTTTGAGCTAATGTGGCATAACAAATTTAATTTGCAAAACAAAGATGACGTGTCTAGAACATGATCCATAATCACTTTTTTCCCTTTTTCAGCTTCACGTTGTAGGGGCTCCGTTAGATAGACTACTCAAGCATAATTTGTGACTTTGTAGAAATTTCCAAATAAATAAAGTCTTGGAAAATCATAAAAGAATACCATTTTGGAACAAAACAGTCGCTCATAGTTTATCCTTTTCACCGTTTCTAAGTTGTGTCGAGTTGTTGGAATGTCTGGGGTGCTTTGGGCTTGTAATTCACTGGGAAGCCTTCATGCCACGGTGATCGGATCTGTGGGAAGGGATGGGGGAGTTGGGAGCGGATTGGGTGGTGAGAACCACACGTGACATTTGCCCCCCAAGACAGGGTGGGCTGACGGGAGGGCTGCCTGCAGTGTGGTAGCTTCTGGGGCCGCCGTGGCCGCCCCCTCATACCCACCACTGTGCTCAACCCTTGGCTGGCGGCTTCCCCGGCACGAGCCGGGCCTTCCTTTCAACACCGCGGCAAGTCTGGAGGTGCTGCGGTTGGAGGCTGCCAGCCAGTGCTCCACTTGCAGTGGGTCTCGGTTCATTCTGGAAGGCAGATTGGAGCGGCACGTCTGGTCACTGCTTCTAAATCCAGCTTAGCATCTGCGTGCGGTCTCATCACACCTTTGCCGTGTCACACAGAGATGGCCAGACTTCAATATTGGTGTACTTCTGGGGTGTCTGGTTTCGTAGAGCGTCATCTTTGAAGGTCGTTCACGCTTCATGTTGCTGCTTTGGCAAGAGTGTGTGGGAAGGGGGTAAAGAGTAGCTCAAAGGGTTTTATTATAATTGAGTTTGTCTATTTAAAGGGCCATTTACTCTGCCAATCGCAGGGATTACTATTATTAGCTCTAGTTGTAGTAGTAATTATGGTAGGAAAAGCAGGGGAGGGGGAGAGAGGAAAGGAATCTAATAGCCATCCTAATGCCATTAATATTTATTGGGCCCACTGCTAAGGCCTGCCATGTAGAATGTCGTGCAGTACTTACATGGGCATCACAAACAGCGTGTCAGTATGGTTCTCAGGTTGGAGATGACGTACAGAGGGGTTGCGTGACTCATCCCAGCTCGTGGAGCTAGTAAACGATACAGGTGTATTCAGACCTCTGCGGTAGGCATCCTTCATACCCGCTCCCATCTGTGTCCTTAGAACCAGGATCTGGGCTTGATTATTCTGTATGCTCATCTTGTGATATAACTTGTCACTATGGGTTTGATCTTTTTAGCCTCGATATCCTCATCTACGGAAACTCCCTAATAACCATAACCAATCTTTCTCGCAAGCTTAATGGGGGGGGGGGAGATGTTGTTGACAAACTGTCTTGTAAACTATAAACCCTTCATCGATAAATGTTAGTATCTTACTGGTGTTAAGTATTTTGTGTTCTAGAAGTGAGACTAGGATGCAGTTATAAAATGTTGACAACAGCAAATGCTGTCAATTCATTCTCAGGAGTTGTGATCCCAGGATGTTGGGTGTGGGGGTTATCCAGTCCACAAGTGCTCAATCAAGTGCCGTGTATTTGTGTCATTTAGGGGAGCTTCTAAAAATGGTTGTTGCTCAAGATTCAGTCCATTTTCAGAAATCGTATTTCATTGGTCTGGTGTAGGGCCGAAGCATCTACGTATGTGTACACGTGCATGCATACGTATTTGTACGTGTAGACGTGTGTCTGAACATACATGTTTATATGTATGTTTGTGTGTGTTCTCCAGAATGATTCTAGTATGTAGCCAGAGGGCAAAAATGGCTGGATTCAACCAGCCAGCTTCCTTCTGATGTGAGGGGTGACCACCTGTTCACCAAGGACAGCCCCCTGGACACATGCTGCCCACTGTCCCACCTGGTTAGCCCACCCCCTTTTACTCTCAAAAGTCACTGTTGGGATGGCACATGATACAGGTTACGTAGGTGATGTAGTCCTCTGCTGATGAGGAACTGAGGTTTTGGGAGGCTATTGTCCTTCTAAAAGGAATAGAATATGAGATTGCTGCAGAGCCATGTGGAACATCTTGTGAGTAAGTAGGATGTGTCTTGTGATTCTTAAGCTGAGAGGATTTCTCAATTTTTCTTTGATAATAAGAAGTCTTTAAAATAAGAATATGCTGTGTTGCCATGTCAGCCAACAAAGTTTTGCGATACTGACGTCTCATCCCGCAGGTTGATTCACGTAGAAAATAGTTGATCCTCGCTTATAATTGCTGAAAGCAGCTTCTTGTGAATACTGTCCTTTGTTATTTAACAAATTAGATTTAGGAAACAAATCAACAGCTTTATCAAATGTCTGAATACTGGTTTTCTGAACATCACATATGGTCCTCTTGGGTACGATGTGCTTAATGACAATGTTTATGCAACCTCGGACCAAAAGAACATTCGATCCTGACCAAGAGATTTGACCTGTTGTTCCTCTGACAAAATGATGCAGTGTTCTTAGCTGACACTTTCTCAGCTGACGTCAGACTTGATTTTGGCATTAAAGCCAGCATTAGCCTGCATATCCGTGCCCCAGAATAGCTAAGATACTTTTCAGCCAGTAGTCTGGGTTTTAAAGGATGCACAAGGAGTCTGTATTCAGTCCACATACAAATCCATGGATGTGGGCATTTTGCTGTGGTAATAGTAACGTTATCCTCTCATCACTGAGCTGCTGTTCCAGGGTGACCCAACCAGAAGTGCAGATCTAGGAAGATAACAGGTCTCAGAGTGAAACCAAGGATGCTAGAAGTTTACGTCACTGGGCAGTAATGAGTGTCTGCTTGTGGAGTCTGGGAACTGTATGATACCCTAAAGATCCAATACAGTATACCATACGAGACTGGAGTGTTCTCACTTTTGTTTGTGTATGATTATGGATGAACATCAGAAATTCATTTAACTTTTTTAAATTCTGGCATGGTTAGCATACAGCGTTATAGTGGTTTCAAGTGTACGATATAGTGAGTCAACAATTGTGTACCTTACTCAGTGCTCATCATAGTGAGTCAACAATTCTGTACATTCAGTGCTCATCATAGTGATTTAACACTTCTGTTCATTACTCAGTGCTCATCGTAGTGAGTCACCAACTCTGTACATTACTCAGGGCTCATCATAGTGAGTCAACAATTCTGTTCATTACTCAGTGCTCATCTTGATGATTCTGCAATTCCATACATTACTCAGTGCTCATCTTGATGAGTCAACAATTCTGTACATTACTTAGTGCTTATCTTGATGAGTCAACAATTCTGTACATTACTTAGTGCTCATCTTGATGAGTCAACAATTCTGTACATTACTCAGTGCTCATCTTGATTCAACAATTCTGTACATTACTCAGTGCTCATCATACTGAGTGAACAATTCTGTTCATTACTCGGTGCTCATCATAGTGAGTCAACAATTCTGTACATTACTCAGTGCTCATCTTTTTTTTTTTAATATATTTTTTTTAACATTTATTTATTTTTGAGACAGGGAGAGACAGAACATGAGCAGGGGAGGGGCAGAGAGAGAGGGAGACACAGAATCTGAAGCAGGCTCCAGGCTCTGAGCTGTCAGCACAGAGCCCAATGTGGGGCTAGAACTCACGGACTGCGCGATCATGACCTGAGCCGAAGTCGGCCGCTTAACTGACTGAGCCACCCAGATGCCCCTACTCAGTGCTCATCTTGATGATTCTGTAATTCCGTACATTACTCAGTGCTCATCTTGATGAGTCAACAATTCCGTACATTAACTTAGTGCTTATCTCGATGAGTCAACAATTCTGTACGTTACTCAGTGCTCATCTTGATGAATCAACAGTTCTGTACATTACTCAGTGCTCATCATACTGAGTGAACAATTCTGTTCATTAGTCAGTGCTCATCATAGTGAGTCAACAATTCTGTTCATTACTCAGTGCTCATTATAGTGAGTGAACAATTCTGTACATTACTCAGTGCTTATCATACTGAGTCAACAATTGTGCACATTAGTCAGTGCTCATCATAGTAAGTCAACAATTCTGTACATTACTCGGTGTTCATCTTGATGAATCAACAATTCTGTACATTACTCAGTGCTCATCTTGA